ACAGGACTGTAACGCCCCTGACAAGCCTGAAGTGTCCCCGGCAGGCACGTGGTGCCCCTGACAGGCCTGAGGCGCCCCTGCAAGGCCGGTGGTGCCCCTGGCAGGCCTGTGGTGTCCATGGCAGGCCTGTGGTGCCCTTGCTAGGCCTCTGGTGCCCCTGACAGGCTTGTAATGCCCCTGGAAGGACTGTGGTGCCCCTGGGCCCTGACAAGCCTGAGGTGCCCCTGACAGGCCAGAGGTGCCCTTGCTAGGCCTGTGGTGCCCCTGACAGGCTTGCGGTGCCCTTGGAAGGACTGTGGTGTCCCTGGGCCATGACAAGCCTGAGGTGCCCCTGACAGGCCCGTGGTGCCCTTGTTAGGCCTGTGGTGCCCCTGGCAGGCCTCTGGTGCCCTTGCTAGGCCGCTGGTGCCCCTGGCAGGCCTCTGGTGCCCTTGCTAGGCCGCTGGTGCCCCTGGCAGGCCTCTGGTGCCCCTGCGCCCGGAGAGGACTGGTGCCCCTGAAAAGTCTGAAGTGCCCCTCGGCAGGCCCGTCGTGCCCCTGACAGGCCCAAGGTGCCCCTGCGAGGCTGGTGGTGCCCCTGGCAGGCCTCTGGTGCCCCTGGCAGGTCTGTGGTGCCCCTGGCAGGTCTGTGGCGCCCCTGGCAGACCTGTGTTGACTGGTGCCCCTGCTAGGTCGCTGGTGCCCCTCACAGACCTGTGGTGCCCCTGGGCCTTGACAAGCCTGAGATGCCTGGCTATGACAGGCTCGTGGTGCCCCTGATAGACCAGTGGTGCCCTTGCTAGGCCTGTAGTGCCCCTGGCAGGCCTCTGGTGCCCCTGCTACCCCTGCGCCCTGAGAGGACTATGGTGCCCCTGAAAAGCCTGAAGTGCCTCTCGACAGGCCCGTGGTGCCCCTGGGCCCTGACAGGCTAAAGTTACCCCTGCGAGGTCGGTGGTGCTCCTGGCAGGCCTCTGGTGCCCCTGGCAGGTCTGTGGTGCCCCTGGCAGGCCTGTGTTGACTGGTGCCCCTGCTAGGCCGCTGGTGCCCCTCACAGGCCTGCGGTGCCCCTGGAAGGACTGTGGTGCCCCTGCCGCTAGGGGTGCTCATGGGCCCAACAGGCCCGTTGTGCCCCTAACAGGCCTGTCGTGTATACTTGCTAGACCTGTGGTGCCCCTGCTTCCTGGCAGGCCTGTGGTGCCCCTGGCGGGCCTGTGGCGCCCCTACAAGGCCGTAGGTGCCCCTGACAGGTTTGTGGTGTCCCTGGAAGGACTTTGGTGCTCCTGACAAGCCTGAAGTGTCAAGGACAGACCCTTTAGACGCCAGGGTCAAGTTCGTCGGACTGACAACGATTTGCTTACCTGATAATGTTCCTGGTAAGTACTCATTACTCAGCGTCCACAACATATACACATAATAGCACATTCATATATACTTGCTTACAATTGGTAAATGAGGTTGTGGCTAAGAGGTAAGATACCGACTAAAAATAAAAAATAAAAATAAAAAACTGAAAATGGGGGCACCACCAAAATGAAGTGGACGAAATCCGTTGAGTTTTTAATTTTGGGTATAGGTAGGGGCACCACTTCCATTCATGACCCTCCCCTTGGAGTTTTCCTGGATCCGCCCCTGGAACGAGCCCACTGGGCCGACCCGAGCGGCCAAGGACGGTCGACGGCCGACGGGCGGTCGCCGCGGCGCCACACCAACACTAAATCCCCGGCGGGGCGGCGGCGACTGTTGGTGACAGCGGCGCTCTCAGCCCGGCAGCACCGCCGCCGCGCCGCCCGGGACCGCGAGCACATCGTCCGGGGGCCTCCCTGTCAGGGATAGGGGGACTGTCAGGCTGCAGGGACCTGCCGGGCCGCCGCGCCGATACGGGCTCTGTTAGCGGCTGTCATGCTGCCGTCCAGGGACTATCAGGGAGTGCCAGCTTCTGTGCTGTAAGGGAACTGTTAGCTCAGAGATCTGTCGGAAGACTGTCAGATACCTGTCAGATCCTGTATGGGACCTATCAGGCCCTATATAGTGTATACCTATATGAGGACCTGCCAGGCCCTGTATGGGGACCTTTCAGATCTCTGTACCTAGGGGGACAAGATGAAAAAAACATCAGTGAGCATAGTGATAAGTCAACATCAAAGACCAAAGCCACGATTGCTTTAACCCGTTTCTCTTTAGAGCGAGCTGTTCTTGGGTCACTGAAAAGGTGTCTGAACATGACCTGGCCAATTCTGCTGTCTGAGTTGGTTTGGTAGTGATTTCCATTAATGGCTGAGTACTGCTGTCGACTCAGGAGCGACATATCGAGCCACGAATACATCATCGAGCGGGCGCGGCCGGGCCGCGTATTCGCCAATTGTATTTTATGGTCCACATCAGGTTAACGACTTTCATGTATTTTGAACAACTGTTACCTAACGCTTATAATGCCGGGTGGGTTTGTGTTAAATTATGCCTTGCTGGAGTGCAAGGCGTTGTTTTCTGACCAAACTACGTGATGGGGTAAAACGCCTCAGTACCTAGGTCGCGGGGCAAAAAGCCCCATGGGGCGTTTTGCCTCATGTGTTGTTCGTACTACCCACTTCCTAATGTTCGGTAGCTGGCAAACAGTAAGTCTCTATGTATTTATGTGTAGTTTTCTCAGGAACCGGATGGCAAAGGAAGTATTTGGTTGACAGTTGCATGGCAATAATTTATTATAGTACATTTTTGCCACCGACGCATGTTAAAAAAGTTCAGTTAAATTTTTGTATAAAGGTGGCCTGCTGAAAGTCAGAAGCGCGAGAGACGGTTAATTTCAGTCGACGCCAAAACTCGGAAATGCCTATCAAAACCCATGCATAAAAACACGGCGGTTAATTTCATTATACGGCAGTTTTCTTCTCTCCAAAAGCTCCCTGTCGAACAATGCATTGGCGTTCGATGACTGAAATCTCAATATTGTAGCATACTCTGGCTTGTAGCGCTTGGAATAAAACAAATTGCGGAACAGGTTGACAGGTGAATATTAGCAAGAAGACAGCCTTAATGTAATGACTTATCGTATCTATTTCAAAGAGATGGCTTAGCAGGTTACGCAGAAATTTAGAAAGCATATTTTGAGCACACGTTCTCAAGAGCCAATGAAAAGAGCAATTGAAGCTGACCCTTACAAAACGGGAAGAACAGCACTGCCAGGAGCCAGTGTTCGTAGTAAGCTCGACGCTTGTTATCATAGCGTCATGCATATTTAATGTCAAAATATAGGAAAGAGGAGAGAACGCAACATTACATTTCCCCACTAATGAAGACAAAACATGTCTCCGCAACGCCTACTCCTCACTCGCAATTACTTCGTAGCATGAATGTCTAATAAAAGTAACAGACGCATCTCGCATGTCTACCAGGAAATCTCTGAGAAATGAGGGATGAATTTCAAGCAAAATACGACGTGAAGGCAATTTACAATTTGTCTACTATGCATTTCAGACCCCATGAGACCCTGTTTTTCGGCGATAATTTATTGAATATTTGTCCAATTTGCTTCAAATTTTCACAATTCACATTTCAGCTAAAGCGCCAATTTTCGTCAATATGGTCTCTTAAGAAAATATCAAATTTTAGGGTACTTGTCGTTGCCTCGTAATGTTAAAATCGGCTCCGTAAATCCGTCAGTGGAGTAGAGGCTATCCGTGCGTAGGCGTGACGTCACAAACACGTGATCATTAAGCTCCGCCCTCCCGGCGGACGGGGCGGTGACCTTGGCCGGTCAGTCGGCTGCGTGGAGCGGGCGGGCCACGGTACATAGAATACTAGGTAACACCGGTTTGTCCGCTCAACACAGGGCCAATGGTCACCACTTTCTTCAGCTGACGTCTGTGACCTTGAGCTGACCTAGGATGATAAACAGCTGACAATTTAGGCCATTTGGAACTCACTTGACAGCTGAAGAGCGTGATTTAAAATATAAATATTTGTCAGACACTGACAAAAGATATTATTCACCAGTCATTTTTTAAGCACATTCTGTCATAAAATAGCTGACTGCCTCTGGTCTTCCACACGGCAGAAAATGCAAGTGCAAATTCTGCAGTCTTGAAGTGAACCAAACGCTTATGATACACATGATCGTTTCTCTCAGAGCACAACGGAAACTGCGAGAAAACAAGAGAGAGTCGGACTCTACAAATGAATGAATTTGGAAGAAAAATAGTTATATTTTTTCCTGTGGAAATGTTGACTTTGGAAACATTGGCCATCAACTTTAAAATTGCCCCCAAATATGAAAATGTGTGAATTGACAAAACAGGCAATCTTGCTGTTTTTGCCCAAATTTGTTCATGATTTAGAGAGATTCGATGCGAAAATGCACTGATAAATACGTTTGGAAGCGAGGTCTCGATCAGTGTATTAATTTTGATTTTTAATTTAACGCTAGTCCCACTTTTCCCTCCAAGAAAATATATTTATCAATTTTTCAATCATTCTTTTATGCGTCATTGCTTTAAAAATAAAGAGAGTCGGACCGTAATTCTTTCAAAATGACTGATCATACTCAATATCTATCGGAATATATCAACAAATTGGCCAGACTCATTGGCTAAATATGTTTAAATCGCATTTTTCTTACTTTCTGCAGATTTTCCGGCAAAATTTTGCTGTAGTGTAAGCTGCGTTTCCTGCAGATTGTGTTCACAGACCAATGGGAGGCAAGTATTTCTTCATCAACAGGTTTATTCGCCATCAATTGGTCTAGCGGGTGTTTTTCGTATGCGCAGCTTATGTCACAGCTGCGTAAGAACACGTTCGCTTTAAATCATTATGGATACCTATCTCTTTTCGGAATATCAATATTAAAGGCAAGATTAAAGGTCAATGCTGACAATGTGTTTCATAAGATTTGTGGCGGCGGGATTATCGTCATTAACTAATTACGTACTTGATATCATATTTTAGTGGTGTATGGGGAGTGGTGTAATGCCCGCACGACTGTTGACTTTCATTGTAATTGCTTGAGGCTCAAGCAATTACAGAGCTCAGAGCTGGTTCCTGGGCCGCCTCAGATAGCAGGATGGTGTGTCAAGTATCATGGCCTGACAGGAAGGTGGGTACCAAGACCCCTAGCTCAATATTATTCTCAGATGAAGCCTGTATATATGTCTTAGAGCTTGTCTAAGTTTTAACCTCACCTACATATAACCTAACATAACTTGAATAACCAGACATGCTAGAACCCTTATTTTGGTCAAATGCTGATGAGCAGATTTTTCAAAAACTTTTTGACGATTTGCAATGCCTACCTATGTCTGGACGAAGGTTTGTTGGCTACTGTGTAGATAAACTATGGTGAAGATGAAAAACATCTACCCTAGCCTAACCTTGCGTACTAACCTACCTACAATTACGCAACCTACAACTTTTAGTAAATGTTCAGAAAGTATGATTCACTTTTCAGGCATACATTTTGTACATTCTTACATTATTTGACATCCTGAATCCAGATATGATATTTACATGTGATACAAATAGAAAACAGAAATCAAACCTTACCTTACCCCATGTTGCATATGCATATAAACTGTAGATCAGATATTTTTTGAACCAATACCCATCTTTCATCCTTTCAGCATACCTACAACCTACTAAACAGCCTTGGTATCAACCTACCATTCATACTTTATCTACACATACATATTGATATATGGGGTATGTTTTGTTCAGTAGGTTATAGTAGGTCAGGTGCCTACATGCTATCATTTGTCATGCTTTGATTTCAGGTGGTGTCTTGTATGCTTTATAGTGGGCTTTGTGACCCTCTCTAAGTGCAAGGGTTAAGTGTTGATGCACATAATGCAATGTGTTTTTCATGGGTGCAGGAGCCTCACGTAAAGTGTGTGTGGGGGGGGGGGGCAGAGAACTTCAATGTCACTTTGTGGGAACCGTAATACCCCTATGAACAAATTCTTTGCAGTTTTGTGCTCATCTCACCTTGCCGAACCATTTCTTGCTCTTAGCTTTGAATTTAAATGAAAAATAAATATTTTACTTTAAAAATTAGCATAGCTGAAAAGTGGGGGGAATGCCCCCCCCCCGCTCCTACGCCTATGTTTTTTTTAAATGGTACAAATCAGATTCATATGAGAAGGGTAGCTACCTACATACAAAACCAAATCAATGCCTCAATTGTTTATTGTTTTCTTACAATAAGTCCCTCCTCTGCCAATCACACTAAACTATCTTCTGTCACAATGCAGCGTGCGTCATGATTTCTCAACTCTATGCATACCATATATTTCCATTTGTCAATCACATATTGTTTTTTTACAGGCTTTCCGGTTATGACTGAGGCCAGCATCTCACGTGTCCTGGCTACGCCAAATCACTGCGGATGCCGGATGCCGAGGACCGGAGAGCCAACCGCTTTGAGGCGTGAGCTCTGTGGCGTGGCTCGAGTAATCACTAGGCTCTGACGGCTACGGCGCCGTCGACCTGGTTGAATAGCTGGGGCCTGGACGAGGGTGCCCTTAGTACGGTGACCAATCGGTTACGTCAGAGGGGCGGTCGAACACGCTGCCGTCGCGTGGCTGCCGGCGGCCGCCCCCTCGCACGTGAATCTCCTGGAGCGAGGACTGCGAGAGGCGGCCGCATCATCACCTGTGTCCGCGCTCAACACCGTGCCACGCACTAATGGCGGAAGCCCGACTTTCTCCGATGGAGGAGAGAAGCTGGACGCTGGCTGCCAGGCTGCTGGGGAGGGCGCTGGGTAATGGGTCTGCCATCAAGGGACCCCCTGCGCGCGACCGCCGAGGCCTCGGCACCGGCGCGCCTGTCTTCGGTCCTAGGCTGGAGATTGCGAGGCCGCCAGGCCTGGGCGAGAGCGAGAATCCCACCGTGGCAACAGACGGCTGGCGTCATTTTCCGGTTGGACGTGTGCCCGATCCGGGCTGGGGCCACGGCGGCGGAAAGGGAAAACGTGGCTACGCTGCACCTCGCGTTCCTGCCCCTGTGTGCTGCCCGGCTTTGGACGGACGGATCTGCGGAGGGCGGAGTCTTCAGGCGCTGGGCGGGAGCCGTGCTGGTCTGGCTGGACGAAGAGGCCGAGGAACTGCGGGTCCCGGCCGGAGAGCTGTGCTATAGCTACCGCGCGGAGATTGTGGCGCTGTTGACCGGTCCGGAGACCCTACTCGGAAGAGACAGAGACCAGGACCTGCGGTCCGTACCTATCTGCTAACTGTGCGGTGGTGGTGGTGTAGTGCAGCATCTTTGGATGGATAGCTACATTTCACGATTAAATAGCTGTTACGTTTCTGACATTGTTCTGACATTGACATTGTCCTTTCTTTCGTTTGATAATGGTCTGTTGGCCGAAATATCACAAATAAAAAGGTAACTTTGCATTAATTATGCTATAGACTCGAGGAATAAGGTCAATGTTTTTCTTTCATATAACTGTATCAATCATGTTCCTCGCCAGAGCACTGGCAAACATTAATGCTGTTACGTTTCAGTGCAGGTGGCGTGACGAACAATGTGGTAGTTTCTGTTGGCCACTTCTGCCGCCGCTGCTATTTCCTACTCGAAGGCGGGCGCGCTGTTTGGCTGGGCCGGCAGGATGTTCCCATTATGTGTCGACGACAAAGCGAGTATATTCATGTTCTTTTAATGCACAGAGGTCTGTTGTATATTTGAAGGTTTATTTTAGGTTGACGATTGCGAAGGGCAGATTCATCTTCTCTCTTTCATTTGTGTTGCCACTTTAGGGTTCATGTTTGTTATAAGTGTCCTGGTCCGGCTTGGTTGTCATCTTTATTCGTGATGTATTTTATTTTACGAACATGCTGGTGATCAATGCAATACACTTTTGGTTAATAATGCTGCTTTAGCTCTGATCCTTTGTGGTATGTCTTGATTGTACTACTGCGATAGTGATTTTTCCTCACCAAAATATGCAGGCAACAAATGTAAATGCTGCCAAATGTTTGTCATTGCGTGATGTATCTAAAAGACATCAAGTTCCTGAACGTGGTCGTGTACTACGCAACCGGAAACTCGATAGGACGTGGAATGCTGTGAAGCAAAACTACAGAAGTAAGACTGGCCACGCCAAAATCAAGTGAGATATGTCTAGCCTTTCTTCAGCCGCCAAGGCTTCGACAGACTATCCCCGGGTTCTGTGTCTCGAACTACGAAGATTCAACGTCGTCCGGCCAATCCTGGTTAAGGTCAGCGGGGACTTAGCTGTGGTTATGGAACAGGATTGGCCGTCCGAGAGACTCCGAACCTGGGGTGTGTTGCAGCACAGCTATGTCGACCGAGTGTCGTCGCAAGCTGCCCCACTCAACGAGAAAAAGAAACACCGTCCCGCCCTAGGCTGACTAGGCTTAGCTAGGTGGCAGCACAGTCGCGCCGGCAGGGGGCAGTGCCACAACCAGCCGACTGATATTTTCGTGTGACGTCAGAACCGGTGCCTCCCTGGGGCGGGCCAGTAGCTGTCGCACCGGGGCGGCTCACATGGAACGTAGCTGCCGTGCAGTTGTCGTTGCAGGGCTGCAACGACGAGGTGATTGACTGTTTGATCGCAGTTACGGCTCCGTAACTTAATCGAATGAGCAAAAATGGCGCGATAAAATTTCGGAGCGATAAAAGAAGAAAGTAAATACACAGTTGTCATTAAATCACACGCTGGATAGTAGAAGTTATAACGCGAATACAAAATGCCTGCCTACTAGATTATGACATAACTTGAAACTTGTGAGACCCGATGTTTGTTATTCAGAACAAAACAAGATGTGTGAAAAAAAACTAAAAAGCTTATTTTTGATCATCGGAAGCAAATTCTGCCGCGGGGTAACTGGTTAAAAACAACTGAAAAGTGATAACGCGGATTTTAGAGTTCAGTTAACTTTCCGGAGTCGGAGTCGAGGCAGCTGGACCGACTCCGACTCCGACTCCGAAACCCTAGAGAAGAGGACACCAAATACCCTCGAACGGATAATTTTTTGGCTTTCATCCCGAAACAACTTTGCCAGCTTCACTTGTCTCCAGTATATGAGGTCCCGCTGCGACCTCTCCGCGGTGCTGACACCGACTGAAGCGGCATAAACCCATCGCGGTCACGGCCAGTGGGCGGAGTCAAGTTGAGCACGACGTAACGTGATTGGCCAGCGCTCCTATCCAATCCGGTGCGGTAGCGAGCGAGCCTCTATCCGGGTGCAAAAACTGATTAACATTACGAGCCAACGACAAGTGCTCTAAATTTTGATATTTTGTTAAGAGACCATTTTGACAAAAATTGGCGCTTGAGCTGAAATATCGTCTGCCAAAATTTCAAGCTAATTGGACAAAAATTGAAGAAATTATCGCCGAAAAACAGGGTCTCATGGGGTCTGAAATGCATAGTAGGTGTAGTGAGACCAATGTCCTTTTTCATAAAGATTCTACAATCCGATTGTAGTTTGTACATTTGTAGTTTTCAAAGTACAATTTTACAAACTACTACCATGGATGATATAACACTGGATTGGTGTCTCGTGGAAATTAACATTGGGATCCGCGACATTGGGATCAGGCCTGCCATCTAGCGAGAGAATTATCGTAAGTTAGGAGCAAGCCGAGTGAACGCCATCTCTCAGCATTATGACACACGTGGGTGTGGTGTGTTAGTTGGCTTGAAGTGCATATTCCCACGAGTTGTAGGTAATCTTACTGGACCTGAGACGACAAAAAACGTCTTAAATGCTTGAAAGCCAAAAACGTCAAGCAGCCTTTAGGTAATAACGAAAATAAAATGCGTAAGACGGTGTTTATTGAAACGCCCAGTTCCATCGGCTTGTACGACCTTTTATATGGTCATTTACTCACAATGGTACAGCAGTTTGACAATATGTCACGTACATATTTGGTAGGCTTATTCCTTCTTCTCCGAATTTCGCCCGATTTTCTTCATCTTAGTTAATGTTACGGCACGTGTCACGTGCCAACTTAGGGGTGTCGAAATTGTTCCACATAAAGTAACTCCGCAATGGCTGGGCCAATTACAGTAAAACTTCGTCAATAGTTAGGCACCCAGTGGCCAATGCATTTCCATGTGTCACTATGGGGGTGCTACTGCACGTGCACACGTGCGGGGTGCCGCTTCCATATCTCAAGAACGGCTGGGCGGATAACACTCAAACTTGGTACACAAATGTCACATCGATGCTCGCACTGCATTGATCAGTGCTATACATTGGTGCAGAGCTGTTAGGAAAACGATGAAATGAGATGCGTGGTGTTTAGGTATGCCTTTCTTTTCCAGCAGCTGATTGATTCGCAACAGGAGATCCTTGTTTGCGAAGGCTTCGTCTCCCTTTTCCACCCCTTGTTTAAAATAACATTAACAATGTACGAAGATCACACATAAAAGTTGTTTTAGGCGGCTATCTTGGCCTTGGGCCAGGGCTGCGAAGTTGTAGTCAGAGCCAGCGGTTCTGTTCCAACTCGGAGTCGGTTGATTTTTAAAAGCTGTAGCCCGAGTATGAGTCGAACGTCACCGAAAAGTCATCACTCCACAGACTTACCAGGGCTGCAGAGTCGGTGTCAGAGTCGGAGTCTGTGTGAATTGACAGTTCTGCCCGAAGGAGTCGGAGTCGATATTTGGATACCGGAATCGGAGTTGGAGCCAAAGTTACTGAAATTTCATCGACTACGCACCACCGGTTGGGTCCTTTTCATAGAGCGTTTTGAATGACATATTGAGCGGCAATGACGTTAGCAATTCCGTTTAAGTCTTTCATTAGACTTACAGATAGTACTTACGTTCGTTTTGTTCTTTGATCGGACAATTTGTTTGATTTAGGCCAAGTAAAGACTCATGTGAAAAATAGCGAAAACGACACGTGCTGGCGAAGTCTCCAATAACTCCCTGTTTCCCGATTTAATGAGGAAATAACATGGAACTGCTTATCTTCTTACTGACCCTGCACATAAATCTATTAATTTCTTCGCTTTTACTGACATATAAAGACATAACCTTTTGAAAAATTGCACAACAAGCCTGCTACTACACTACATTCCCGTGTGTCACAATGCTAATCAGCGGCGTTCACTCGGCTTGCTCCTAACTTACGACAATTCTCCCGCTAGATGGCAGGCCTGAGCTCAATGTCGCCAAAAACTGCGAAGACACCAATCCATTATTATCTCATCCATGCTACTACTTTTCATAAAGCCTGGACATGCGGCGTCAATAGAATTGTACTTTCGATCCGGGAGCGTAGTTTTGCGGGGCTTCGTCTCCATGGCAACGGAGTAAACAAAAACTTCTGCAACAGTTTTCGATGTTGTGTTGCAAATTGCGTATGGTGTGCTGACAGTTTTTTGCAATTTTTAAAAAGAAATAACCATTGATAAATAACTTGAATTGCTTTTAGGGATCACCCATCGCTTTGCCCATGCATAGCTAGAACTTTTATGCTGAAAGCATTAACATTTTCAACATTGCAATCATTTGAAGATGTGCCTGTTTCGAGATTTGGTATCTGAGTAAGCCCAACAAGTCATTAGTTTCTTGAAAGACTGTTTCATGAATTGTTGGGACATTAATGCAAAAATGACTGAAAAAGGTTTAGGTATGACCTCAGTAAGCCTATCCGAGTTATAGAGTTGTTGTTGACCGTCATATTAAGTACCTAGCGACGGGCTATATGACAGCTTGCTTTGAGCCTTGAAATACCCGTTTTGATAAGTAATGCAACCTAGTGAAACATGAAGCAACAAGAAAGCCAGCGAATAAAATGCCAAAATCAAAACGCAAGAGCATTGTGACGAAGCGAGAAGCAAATGGATGGAGCCGGAGGCTGGAGCCACCCAGGAGACGGGATGAAAACTGATAAAAATACAAGCCTTTCCTAAAGGAAATGAATTACGTCTTGAAGAGAAGGTGCATGGTCATTCCATGTGTTGGTTGAAGAGACTGAGCCGGAAACGAATAGGACATGATCGTAAGTTGCTCTTTTTTCCAGAGAATTTCATCCGCAAAAAAGACTGCTATGTTAATGTAAGATTATGAGCAATGTTAAAAAAAAAAAATGTTGCATGAGTCGATCGATGGTAGGTATAGTACCTAGGCTAATGTATTCAGATATTGATATCAATAATAAGAAGGTATATATATCCTCACTTTTAGATAGGTATTACTCGTGAACTTAATATGACTGCCTAGTGCCTACTGATAAATGGTTCGTATGAATAAGGAAAATAAATTGTCGATAAAATGCCGTCTTTTTATCGAATTATCAACTCTCAATAGGCCCGAACGATGCTACGAGTTTCAGCGCCTTAGTTCCATCTGTTCAAAAACGCCATTGGCGTGGGTCAGCCGGATCGAGGGGGGTCGGGTCGAGCCGTTCAATGCCGGCATTTTTCGGAAATGTGACACACATGAAGTTATATATAAACACTTAAACAGGAAAGTGATGAAAATAACCAGTCAAGTGCCTTTTGGGCGAAGAACGAGCGAGCGAGCGAGCGAGTGAGCCCTGCACTGACAGCGCCAGGGTACCTCCAACTGGCTCGTGCAATGTGCACGGCACCCTACCAACCGTTTATAAGCTGTGCACCAAATTCGGATGCAAGCGGCCCAACCGTTCCCAAGATCTGAATGTGGCGCCCTGCCGTGCGCACGTGCAAACGGGGCTCAAACCAAGGCCATATATACATATAGGGCCCAAACTGACTTTGCACAGTACTCTATCTAACCGGTCCCCAACCGTGTACCAAATTT